CCATACCCACCAAACGTGCCGCCCACCATCACAAAGCCACTTTCTCTCCTTAAAACCAGTAGCAGACGATGGGGAACAGGCCCGTGTCTTTAAGGAAGAAAGTGGTAGGAGGAAAATGAGATGTTAAGAGTCATTCGATGCTAGAGGAGAGGTTTGGGTTAGCTGGGCTTGAGTCTGGGACTAGTTTCTCTAGAGAACTAGAGTCTGTGAAGCCAACGGCCGTCCGGAAGCACCAGCACTACCCAGCCCCAGCAGTTCTGCACACCAGCTGTAAGGCAGCGAACCATCAGAGCCTTCCGCTGGCCCAAATCATCTTCCCAACTGCCTTGTTGAAAAAAAAAAACGCCGTAAAGAACATCTGCCAAGCATCCCCAAGCTGGAAAGCATCCTCTCCTTCCTAGGTGCTCCTGAATAGCAGACCTGGGAACTTGTTTGAAATGAATGAACAGTTTTGGCAGCACGTATAACCATATCTGATGGGCATTCTTCAAAGGGTAGAGTCTTGCAGAATTACCGAGGCAAACAACTCCTCTGGGGTCACGGCTGGTAGAGTCTGCAACAAACTTCATCCAGCCTCCGACTAAGGTAGACCAGTAGCACTACCACGAGTAGAGCTGCAGGGGCAGCAGGGTTAAGACAGCAGTTGCTTACAGCAGTGTTCTTCATGAGACGAGCCTTGACTAGTCTATACTTACAAGTTTTCTTTGTCCTTCTCAAATGTTTACGGTTGGGGAGCAAAGCTTTGGCAAGGAAAGATCAAAATATTGTCAAGGTTTTAAGAAACAGGCCCTCCCTCTACCTCTAGCATAGAAAAAGCACCGAGCAGCTCTCTGCACGTGTGCAAGACCCAAAGCACACCCACCTTGAGCTTGTGCTCCTTCCTGTTGACGATGACGGCTGTGATTTGCTGGTCCATGAAGATGAGGATAGTCACCAGCAGTGCAGGGATGGCTGCTGCCAGGTACACCCACCATGGGTTCCCTCCGAAAGGTGGGATAAACCAACCCCTCTCGGGACTGGTTGGCTTTTAAGCGGAAGGAAAAGAAAGCTTGCGTTAGAGCTGCGACGTAGGAGTGAGGACACCCGAAACGTACGTGTACTTCCAGCAACGGGGCTACAGGGAGACACTTGTGGTTTGTGACAATTTCATCCTTCCCATGGACAGCAACGAAAGGTTCAACGTACGGAGGCAGGATTTAGGAGATAAATCAGACAACCAAACCGACGCTATTAAAAAGGATCTCATCCGAATAAAAGAGTCCTTTCCAGAGAGGTGACTACTCTCCTGCTTTGAGGGCAAGTCATTTTATAGAGGGAAGAAAAGGGAACCTCTTCCAAAGGCCACCCACCGAGCTGACAATGACATACCTTGAATTCACTTGGCACAATCAGTTTCGGTGTGTCCACGCCTACCAGGGCATCTATTCCACAGAAAATCAAAATGGACAAGATAATGGCAAAGTCACTGATGAGCTTCCGGGCCTGAAACAGAAGTCGATACAGTAAGAGTAGTTAGCACCATGAACCACCATCTCACCAGTGCTCTAGTTTCTGTGTGATACTCCAGGCTCGCGTTTGGTGGCAACACGAGCTCTTCGTTCCTTCTTTTTTTGGAACAAAGGCACCTAACAAAGGTCCTTCACCTGAGTCGGGCCAATCCTAGGCACAAATACAAACTGGGCACAGAGTGGGTTGAGAGTAGCCCTGAAGAGAAGGATTTGGGGGTGTTTATAGAGGAGAAGCTCAACATGAGCCGGCAGTGCGCTCATGCGGCCCAGAAGGCCAACCGCATCCTGGGATGTATCAAGAGAAGCGTGGTCAGCAGGTCAAGAGAGGTGATTCTCCTGCTTTACTCTGCTCTTGTGAGACTCCACCTCGAATACTGCGTCCAGTTCTGGTGTCCCTACCATACGAGAGACATAGATCTGTTGGAGCGTGTTCAGAGGAGGGCCACAAAGATGATCCAGGGGCTGGAGCACCTCTGCTACGAGGACAGGTTGCGGAAGCTGGGGTTGTTCAGCCTTGAAAAGAGAAGACTTGGGGGGGACCTAATAACTGCCTTCCAATACCTGAAGGGAACCTACAGGAAGGCTGGAGAGGGACTTTTTACAAGAGTGTCCACTGACGGGACAAGGGGAAATGGGTTTAAGTTGAAGAACAGATTTAGATTAGATCTTAGGAAGAAATTCTTCAGTACGAGGGTGGTGAGACTTCGGAATAAATTGCCCAGAGAAGTTGTGCATGCCCCCTCCCTGGAGGTGTTCAAGGCCAGGTTGGACGAAGCCTTGAGTAGCCTGATCTAGTTGAGAGGCGTCCCTGCTCACGACAGGGAGGTTGGATTAGATGATCTCTAAGGTCCCTTCCAGCCTATGCCATTCTATGATTCTATTGTCGTCTCTGGTGCCCTTTGCTTCAACGAGCCTCGGTTCTTGACTGCGTTGCCTGAAAGCCAAAGAACTCAGCCTCAATGGAAGCATGAAACCAAGCCTAAGAAAAAAGAAAACTGCTTTTCTAAGAAACTCCCACATGAATTCTTCAAGGCAGTCTCACTGACGCTACGTTCCACGGCGGCCAACAACCACTGGTGTGGAGACCTAGCTCCTCTGCAGCAGTGTCTCGGGAGGCTTTTCGGGATCAGCTTCCAATATTAACAGATATTGAACATGTACAAATAAACCTAAAAAAAACAGTGGATTTTTTAGACATATAAAATACTGTCTCCTCCCACTTGCCTTCTGATCTCTGATTCTTTAGGGTCCACATATTGATTTTTTTTACGCAGGGGTGGAGACAGCTTTTTTTGACACGAGTTGAGCTTCTCGTCTTATCACAGGACTCCTACAATACAGATTCTTTAGGGTCCACATATTGATTTTTTTTTTACGCAGGGGTGGAGGCAGCTTTTTTTGACACGAGTTGAGCTTCTTGTCTTATCACAGGACTCCTACAGTACGTGGCTTTAACAAAACCCACTGTGTTATCCCCAGACTCCATTCTTCTAATATGAGTGATTTTGCAATGCAGATTTAAAAAAAAAAAAAAAAAAAAGGGAAAGGAAAAAAGCCATATTTTACATCACATAATGGAAACGGTCACAAAATTCCCTTTAGAAGACCAAAGACCCAGACTTCCAGGACAGATGAGATGTTGACTGGCAGGGATTACACTGTTTTCTGTGTAATAAATCAACCTAAACAGGAAAACAAATCAGGTTTCCCAGCTAAATCCTCAACATGCCCTAAGAGCGCAGCTCTCCTGAAGTCATTGGAATAAAACAATTTAAAGCTGCTACTGGTCAGACCCCAAAATTTAACCGAGCAGGACCCACTGTGCTTGTCTGGAACCGTGTGGTCTTTTCAGAGCTGGTATTCCCTCCAGGCTTCTCGAGTCCACGTGGTTACAGATAAATTGAGCTGCATTCCAGCCCGGATGGAATTTGTTTTCTTTTTATTAAAAATAATAGAGGTTCAATTGTAACACAGCAGAACAGTAAACATCCATGCGAGATAAATCCTGGTGTGTCAGAATGCCAAAAATAGGGTGGGTGGGCAAGTCTTGGAGAGAAACACAGCTTTGGTACTCAACGGAAAGCGCCAGCTCGCACGTGTGTCGTGGTGACTTTAGTCAGGGAGACAAAACAAGTGGATGCACCTTCAAGGTGCACATCAACGGGCTCCAAGTCTGAGAAAAATCTGGTTTGAATCAATGCATTTTTTTCTGGTCACCTTTATTTTTCATCTGATCCTCAGAGAAGAAAGGCAATTTCTGCTTTAGGTCCCTCCCGTAGGTAGACCAGAAATGGACTGCAGTCAAGTTCAACATTTTTGCATCAATTTCTGAGTATTTCAAATATTATGTGAGAACATCAAAGATGTGTCTCTGTTCTCCTGTTCTATGTGACAGCGACAAAGCAAAGGGCTTCTTCTGTCCTCCTCAAATAGTCCCTCCAGCCAGAAGCAGAGAGACTTCTGACATCAGGATTAACAGCTCCTTTTGGTTGCTGGATCTCCATGGAACGGCCCCGCATCCTACCCCAGAGTCCGTACATCACATCGAGCAGTGCGTCGGACACTGAGAACGTCCAGCTGAGAACTGTATGTGCCTGAAGGACTCTTCTGACTTCTCAAGGCTGATAAGCCACATCACTGCAACCCCAGACATACCTTGGTCACCCAGAACCGTATTTCTCAACCAACTCAACCTGCCTTCCCTGCAAAGCGTTTCTCCCCGCGCGTGAGACAGCCATCCCAGAAGGAAGGCTGATCTTTGCGCTCCGAAAGAGCAAAGAAACGGACTGTTAGGGGGAAAGGAGACACTCACAGTGGTTGGAAAATAGCGACTGGTCTTGAATTTCTTCAGGGCCATGGAGCAGGTGTAAGTGCCGAAAAAGAGGATGAAAGACATGAGGGTGATGTCGGGGACGTAGTCACAGTTGTTGCCCACAAGTTGTCCTCCGTATTTCAAGCACTCCTTCGCCGTCAGAGACGACCAGTCGATGGTGGTGTTGGACTGCAAGAAAAAAAGAGCATTTCCATCAAGCTATACTCGTGCTAGGACAGGAACGGGGACAGGGCACCGGGAAAAGCATGGGGAAGAAAAGGGAGGCACAGGTGGAGTTACCCCGAGCGCCTCCGCCGCGTGGTGCCAATCGCCCGGGGCTAAATAACGGGGTGCTACGGTGGTGGTACAGACATTTCCCTTCATTCCAGCAGGAGCTGAGGGTCTCTGCCCCACCATCTTGCCTCTAAGAACCTGCATTTGGATTTCCTTTAATTGCTTCTGCTCTCATGGGAATACCCGGTTACTACCGGTGACTGCGGCAGCCAAAGAGGGAGGCACAATCTGGATTTTGGAGCACCATCTGATGGGAGATGGGGAATGTGGAGAGCATGGGCTAGCATCACGAGAAACTCAAAGTATTTTCAGGTATCTACACAATTCTGTCAGTCTGGGGAGTTTCAGAATCCCCCGTCTCTGCCCCTCCCTTTCTGCATGAAAACCCCCATGAAGGAAAGCACAGCTTTGGGAACCACGACAGCAGAGCAAGAATACTTTAAAAAACCTCAAAACTAATAAATCCATAAAGAGAAAAGAGTATTTTGCTCCAAATAGTTAGCTCATAAAGAACTTAGCACAAACACGGCCACAGATTAATGCAGACCAACAAGCAACTGACCAGAAAAAGGATATTCTTGACGCGAAAGTGCAAGACACAAAACACACAAGTGACATTTTCAAGGAGGAAAAAAAACCCAACCCTAACTTATATCAGAAATCTTGAAAATATTGACGGTACCCCCTGGAAGCAAAAGGTTCATGGCCTCATGTTGCGTCTATGTGTGATTTTACGCCTACAGAAATAAGCACCGGCGAGCGTTCGATGGGTAAGATGACCACTCGGGGTGTCAGAGAGAAGAGGGCATCTCTCTTCTTTGGGAGATCCCCCCCAAAGCCATCTCGCTCCGTTCCCCTGCCAACTGCCCCCAGAACGCGCGCCGGGGCTGCTCTTCCCCTTCCCAACGCCCTCGCCGTGCATCCTCGGACATCTCTTCTGCTTTGAAACTCTACGGTACAGCTATAAGGTTCTAAGCCCCTCCAGGCTGTGGGAAGGGTGTTGCAAAGCAAGGTTTTGGGGGAGGAGGCCAGTGAAGAAGGTGAGGTGCACCCAAGGCCAGCAGGAGACCTCGCTCCTTCTTCACCCTGCGACACCAATCCCCTCGGGGACCTCGGGCAACACCCTTGCCTTCAGGTTCCTGTCTCGCTCTCCTAGCGCCTGGAGACTGTGCCCAGCTCAGGAACCATTCCCTTCCTGCTGGGCCACTTGATGCCATGCAAGAGTGGCCACCACGTAAAACTAACACTGTTCTTCAGCAGAAAGTTGTTATCCTGTTGCTCAACTTCCATCCCCTGCATCAAACGCAAACATATCTGACCCCATCAAGCTCCGTTTCTTTCTCCTCATTGTCCAAAGCTCACCACCAGAGTGAAATGTGGAAAAGCCAGGGTTTGCTACGGAAAAAATCAAAGAATGGGATAGAAAGAGGATCTTCCAAGGGAAGGGCTGCCCACAACACTGCTACCACTGTAGCCCTGGACACAAAGATCCCACTCATCTCCCAGGAGAACCACCAGCATCCTGCCAACACACGCAGATCCGACTGAGAGAAAGCGGCCGCTACGAGCAAGTCATGAGCAAGTATCAAGACTTGCTCGCCATGAGCAAGTCAACTCGCGCACGCGGTATCCTGTACACAGCACCACGAGGGCTCTCCTCCTGCCATCGATTCCTGAATTATTGGCACTTCCATGCTTGGAAGCCCACGTAACCCCTGCCCTCACGGAGGGCACTCACCGTCTCGGCAGCGGAATAGTCCAGCTCATCGGCCGATGGCGCCGGCGTCCCGTTGAACAATGAGCTATTGACTGCAAGAGAGGACAGAAAAAGGGATGTGGTGAGCACAGGGCCAACTGGAAAGCCAACTTCAACTACTAAATCCTCTGTTAACTCCATCCAACTGTTTGCCACCTCTTTGCTCAGTCAAAGCGAGGCTGAAGTCTTGTTTTGGAGTCATTCAAAAGCATCGTTCATCCAAAAGCATCGTTTATCCATCACTTCAAAAAAGCGAAGCGTAATTCAAACCTAACTGGAGTTTTTTTGGACTTGACTGGATAGACAATATGAATATTTCAGGGTTTTGAAATACATTTCTAACAATTTCTAGATTGAAATAAATATCCACAGACCACTCCTAATAATTATTTAAAACTACTGCGCAAGCCCAAAGATCTCCAGAAAAGAAAAGGCGTCTCAGGACCCAGCACCACCACATTTTTTGGGTTAAAAA